TAATTTCAACTTGAAAAGCAAGGTATAAAGGATGCAAATGTAAAGGAAATATTTACCGATATGCTAATCTTAGCGCTGAGTCATGCGTATGAATACCATCAGAAATAATTCCGTAATGAATCGTACGATTTCCCAACATCTTTGATGTAAGCAAGCCAATGAGACATGGATCGCGATGATGATACTGTAACAATAAGATTGAACAAGTAATATGAAAAGCTAGTGATAGAAGTTGAGAAGTGTGTCATAATTGATTATTGCTTTAACATATGCCTTATTGGAACTACTCTTTGAAAAACTGCTCCATTGAAAGTTATTTAAAATTGACTAAAATGGCAATAAATTGATGTTATATTGTATGAAGTAGCAACCAACCGAATTCATGGCATTAAATAAATGTGTTATAGCTCTGGCTCCGGCAGCGACTGCTTTCTCGCCCGCTACAAGCCCAGCTGATGAGTGACCCAATGATACGAGCTTTCCCTTATCAGCTAAGTATCTGAAAGATATACGTTGATGGTCCAAACCAAAAAAGTAGTATTCAACTCTTCACCAAATGAAAAAAAAATGGAGTTTACCTAACCTTATAGCAGCTTCGCTGCCTTCTAACTCTGGTGCTATTGTCACCATGCATACGTTCTCCATATTGCCATAAACCTTGATAAGTTGTTCTAATAGCATATGAGATCCAAATTCCGTCGATACTTTGGAAAACAAGTACAAGGCTTCTTACTAATCATAAAGAAATACCTCTTTGAGCGTTTTCACTGGATCTTCGCCAAAGTTTCTTATGTGTTTTCTGGGATGGCATCCTTTCTTGTCTGGTGAGATAAAAGGACCTTCCACATGAGCCCCTAAAATGAACTTAGAGTCAACAAAGCAAACGCAGTAGAGGTAATATGAATGTCAGACATTATAATCCATAGATTAGAAAATAAGGGGCTTTCTCGGAAAACGACAGATAAATCGGCACACCATTCAAATATACCTTAAGTGTGATAGATCGATTCGAAGGAATATGACTCAGCAAGTGGGCGTT